GCTGCAGTGCATTCGCGAGGCATGTGAGGAAGATATTCCCCCAAGGACGGGTACCGAGGGCTTGGGATATACGTGTTGATCGGCACGTGAGCAGATAGGAACAAACATAATCAATGCACCCCTTCCGCTCCACCATGCTTTTGCCCTGCCTGCTCTCTCTCTCCTTGCACGCGTTGCCCGCCTACTGTACTTACTGACTTCTTCTGCTCCCGCGGCTAGTATACTTTGGCTTTGAGGAAACGGAAAAGGAGCGAGCTGCGGCGCGCGCGCGTGCGTCGGCCGGCGGGCCGGCCTCTTCCCTTCAGTGTTACCTTAGTGTGTGGTTGACGGCACTACCTTTTTCTTACCCATGTCATCTGCGGAGCCCACTGACCATGAGATACCATCGGAAAGGATCGCAGGAATTACGATTATCCAGTCATGCGGGAAGTGCACCATTCTCGAGCGGGCGTACGTGGAAGGGGGGTTCAGGCATTAGTTGCGAAGCTGGATGCGCACCACCCTGGAGCGGGTAGGAGGGAGGTGGCTTCGAAGAGGTGGAATGGTGCGCGCAGGAGATTGGGGGAGGGGATGGGGGACCCCCGTATCAGAATTTTGCAAATCTTACCAGGCATACCTTGACATTATTTCACGCTTTAGCGTGCCAGGTGGCACAGAGGCGCCTTGTGTTATATACGCAGAACCAGACATGTGTGTATACATATGTATGTATACAAATGTATATATCCAACAGGCCCCAAGGCAACCTTGCGGGGCGCCAGGACCCCCCAGGGTGGCCCGATAGGATCGCCAGGGCCCTCTCCTGGTTTAGCGTCCTTCTCCAATTGCCTCTTCGTGTCATCCGTCGTCGTCGTCGTCGTCATCTCCTCCGCATTCCTCGCCCTGGCCCTCGTTATCTTCGTCCTCGTCCTTGTGCTTCTCTTCCTTGTCGTTGTCCTCATGCTCCTCGCTGTCCTCGCGTTCTCCACGCTGTCCTCGTCATCGCTTCTTGGTTGCCGTCGTCTTCTGTTTTTTCTCTTAGCAGCGAAGGCTGATCGGTTTCTAGTAGGGTCAATAGAGAGCATCATGACGCCCCAGAGGGGGTCTGGGCGCGATCCGGGGAAGTGCCGGGGATTTTTGTTGCCAGCAGTTACACACTTCGTGGTCTTCGAGGCCTCAGAACTCCACTCACGGGCCACATTCTGAATGCCCGGAGCCAACTGTAGGCAACTTCGTGCTCTTCGGGTTCCCAGAACTCCACTCCCGGGCCACATTTTGACTGCCCGGAGCCAACTGTAGGCCACGTCGTGGTCTTCGAGTTCCCAGAACTGTTTTCTTGGGCATGATTTTGAATACCCAGAGCCAACTGTAGGCCACTTCGTTTTCTTCGAGTTCCCAGAACTGTATTCTGGGGCCACAGTTTGAATGCTGAGGCAGGCTGATGCTGAGGCCGAGGCAGGCTGAGGCTGAGGCAGGCTGGGGCTGAGGCCGAGGCCGAAGGCAGACTGAGGCTGAGGCTGAAGCAGGCTGAGGCTGAGGCTGAGGCAGGCTGAAGCTGAGGCAGGCTGAGGCTTATGCTGAGGCTGAGGCTGATGCAGGCTGAGGCTGAGGCACGCTGAGGATGAAGCCGAGGCTGAAGGCAGACTGAGGCTGAGGCTGAAACAGGCTGAGGCTGAGGCAGGCTGAGGCTGAGGCAGGCTGAGGCTGAGGCTGAGGCAGGCTGATGCTGAGGCAGGCTGAGGCTGAGTCTGAGGCTGATGCAGGCTGAGGCTGAGGCAGGCTGAGGCTGAGGCCGAGGCTGAAGGCAGACTGATGCTGAGGCTGAAGCAGGCAGAGGCAGAGGCAGAGGCAGTCTGAGGCTGAGGCTGAGGCTGGGCTGAGGCTGAGGCTGAAGCAGGCTGAGGCTGAGGCTGATGCAGGGTGATGCCGAGGCAGGCTGAGGCTGAGGCCGAGGTTGAAGGCAGACTGAGGCTGAGGCTGAAGCAGGCTGAGGCTGAGGCTGAGGCAGGCTGAGGCTGAGGCTGAGGCAGGCTGAGGCTGAGGCTGAGGCTGAGGCTGCAGGCTGAGGCTGAGGCAGGCTGAGGCTGAGGCCGAGGCTGAAGGCAGACTGAGGCTGAGGCTGAAGCAGGCTGAGGCTGAGGCAGGCAGGCTGAGGCTGAGGCAGGCTGCTGAGGCAGGCTGAGGCTGAGGCTGAGGCTGATGCAGGCTGAGGCTGAGGCAGGCTGAGGCTGAGGCCGAGGCTGAAGGCAGACTGAGGCTGAGGCTGAGCAGGCTGAGGCTGAGGCTGAGGCAGGCTGAGGCTGAGGCTGAGGCAGGCTGAGGCTGAGGCAGGCTGAGGCTGAGGCTGAGGCTCAGGCTGAGGCTGAGGCAGGCTGAGGCTGAGGCCGAGGCTGAAGGCAGACTGAGGCTGAGGCTGAAGCAGGCTGAGGCTGAGGCTGAGGCAGGAGGCTGAGGCTGAGGCTGAGGCAGGCTGAGGCTGAGGCTGAGGCTGAGGCTGAGGCAGGCTGAGGCTGAGGCTGAGGCTGAGGGCTGAGGCTGAGGCTGAGGCGAGGCTGAAGGCAGACTGAGGCTGAGGCTGAAGCAGGCTGAGGCTGAGGCTGAGGCAGGCTGAGGCTGAGGCTGAGGCAGGCTGATGCTGAGGCAGGCTGAGGCTGAGGCTGAGGCTGATGCAGGCTGAGGCTGAGGCAGGCTGAGGCTGAGGCCGAGGCTGAAGGCAGACTGAGGCTGAGGCTGAAGCAGGCTGAGGCTGAGGCTGAGGCAGGCTGAGGCTGAGGCAGGCTGAGGCTGAGGCTGAGGCTGAGGCTGAGGCTGAGGCAGGAGGCTGAGGCTTGTGAGGCTGCCAGGCTGAGGCTGAGGCTGGCTGAGGCTGAGGCTGAGGCAGGCTGAGGCTGAGGCTGTGACTGCGACTGCCGTTGCCACTGCGACTGCCATCGCGAATGCGACTACGACTGCGAGAACAGCAGAATTCTACAACAGGATTATCATCTGAATCTCAAGGGGAATGCTTCCAGATATGTTCCTACACATCGCTGTTAGGTTGCTTTGCCGGGATACTTATTCGCCCGACAGCCCCATTGTACCAAAGCGGTGCTTCCCGTTCTTGCCCGAACCGGTTTCTATGTATATATATATATATATACATATATATATGTGTATATATGCACCTGTATGTGTGTATACATATATATATATAAATGTATGGAATCACAGTCAAGTCTACCGCCTACCGATTCCCCGAATATCGATTCCACAAGCGGTGGTTATAGACGGACCCCGCCGCGCAGCATCAGCTGTTGTTTTTCCGTACACTTGCTCCAGCTCCTGACGTTGTTAGTGATGTTCGTCATCATTTGCGCCTTGGCTCCCATACTCATCATCATCGTTCTCCTGTCCACATCGTCCCGCTAGGATGCAACTCCTGGGGTGTCAAGTTCAGCATCGGCGTCGGCACGCCGGTGGTCAGAAACAAGTCCAATCCAGCATGATACCGCGGATTTCTGTGCAGTCACGCATCATCGGGCTTGGGATTGGGCTTCGTTCAGCGGTTTAGTCCGCGGCTCATTCGCCACTTGCTCGGGGACCAATCGCCCCTGACCGTTCTTACAAAGGCCCCGTCGAGTTGCTTCCGAAAGCTCCCGCGCATCGCGGGGTGCCATGCGCGAAGTTAGGCGACCTAAAACCCTCCACGAAAGTAAACGCAAATTTTTCCCACCCCCCCTGGCGCCCCTCATTTAAATGTTCAGCGACGCGCGCAACGCCGCCCACTCGGTCCCCCCAAAAATAGGCTGGCGAAGGACCCAACAATATGCATGTGTGAGTCCCGATTGGGCCAGGAAGCGTGTGAAGGGTGTGCGGAGGTGAATGCGGCGGGCGCATGCGAACGCAGCCATTGGGGCCGTCGGTGAGCCTCCCTATTGGGCCACGAAGCGTGTCAGGGGTGTGCCGAAATGGGTTCGGCGGGCGCATGCGAACGCAGCCGCTGGGGCCTTCGGTGGAGCTCCCGATGGGGCCACGACGCGTGTGAGGGGTGTGCCGAAATGGGTGCGGCGGGCGTATTCAAACGCAGCCACTGGGGCCCTTGTTGGAGATCCCGATGGGGCCACGAAGCGTGTGAGGGGTGTGCCAAAATGCGTGCGGTGGGCGCATGCGAACGCAGCAATTGGGGCCTTCGGTGGAGCTCCCGATGGGGCCACGAAACGTGTGAGGGGTGTGCCGTCATGGGTTCGGCAGGCGCATGCGAACGCAGCCACTGGGATCGTCGGTGGAGCTATTTGTGGGGCCCCAAAATGTGCGACGGGTGTGCCAACATGGGTGCGGTGGGCGCATGCGAACGCAGACATTGGGGCCCTCGGTGGAGCTCCCTGTGGGGCCACGAAGCGTGTGAGGGGTGTGCCAACATAGGTGCGGCGTGCGCATGCGAACGCAGCCATTGGGGCCTTCGATGGAGGTCCATACGGGGCCACGATGCGTGTGAGGGGTGTGCCAAAATGGGTGCGGTGGGCGCATGCGAACGCTGGCCTTTGGGCCTTCTGTGGGGCTCCCTGTGGGGCTACGGAACGTGTGAGGGGTGTGCCAAGCTGGGTTCGGCGGGCGCATGCGAATGCAGCAATTGGGGCCTTCTGTTGGGGCTCCCTATGGGACCACGAAGCGTGTGAGGGGTGTGTTGAAACGGGCGATGAGGAGCGGGAGGAGGAGGAATGAAGGCGGGGAGCGTCTCTTCAAAACGAGGACCCAACACCACAGGATGGTTGGGAAATACAAGTCGCCAGCTTCGGCGCGAACATTGACATTGGAGGTCCAGGGGCGCCACCACGTCGGGCGTTTGATTTCGCGGACGGTAGCGGGTCCTATCGCCCTCATTGGCGTTTGAGTAGGATGAGGATTGTGTGGATGGTAGGAGGAGGATGGCAGGAGGATGGGGAGTAGGAGGACGATTGCCTCATTGGCGTTTGATTTCGCGGATGGTAGTAGGTCCTATCGCCCTCTTCCCCCGTTGCTCGACATTCCTTGTGCCGGCTCAGGACCCCAAGAGCGAGGAGCCTAGCCATGCGCAGAAGCCCCGATCGACTCGACGGCGCGGCGCCCAGACCCTCGTTGGGACGCCGACGTCGCCGCAGCCTGGTGAGCCTGCGGTGAAGAAATGGCCTCCACCCCCGCCCTCCGCTTCCTCCCTTCCCGCGGGCAGGTCTCGAGGTAGAGGCCCGACAGGCAGTGGGACAGGGAGTCGGAGTGGTGGTGTGGCAGGCGGAGTGGGCGACGGCTCAGCACGACCTGCTGTTCCCCAGTGGGTATCCGCCAGGGTCGCGCGTCGGAGCGGCGGTCGCTCTGCAGGGGCAGCGCGAGCGGCGCTCGAGAGAGCGCATCGAGGCCTCGGACACGGCTGCCATGAGAATGAGTTGTCCCGAGTGCGACCCGGCGAGGTTTTTATAGTTTTGCAGTTTTTGGCGAGTGATTGGCGGGGTACTCTGGCGAGCATTTGGGCGCCCGTGGGCGCCTCGTGGGCGCCCCGCGCTTGGGGGGCATGCCGACGTTTCGCTCGGCGCCCGCGCGTGGGCACTTCGTGGGCGCCCCGCGCTTCGGGGGCACGGCCGAACGGTGTGACGAAGTTTCGTTTGGTGCTCGCCCGGGGGCGCCTCGTGGGCGCCCCGCGCGGGGGTGGCAATTATTCCAATGGTTCGCTCGGTGCCCGCCCGTGCACGGCGCATCGTGGGCGCTCGTGGGCGCCCCGGGGGGTATGCCAAGGATTCGCCCGGTGGCCACCCATGGGCGCCTCGTGGGCGCCCCGTGCTGGGGGGAAGGGTATGCCGAGGTTTCGCATCGTGCCCGCGCGTGGGCGCGCCCCGCGCCGCGGGTAGATGCCGCTGTTTCGCCTGGTGCCCGCCCGTGGGCGCGTCCTGCGCAAGTGGTGTGTGCCGCGTGCCGAGGTTTCGCCTGGTGCCCGCCCGTGGGCGCGCCCCGTGCGGGGGGGGGGCGCTTCGAAACCGCTCCGCGCCGGGGGTGTCTGCCGAGGATTCGCCTGGTGCCTGCCCAGGGACGGCTCTGTATCTTGCACCACGTAGATTGCACCACGCAGGTCGCGCAAAATACCGTGCACCACACAGCTTGCACCACAAAGCTGGTATCATATTATCACATAGCTGACAGCACGTAGCTTGCACCACGCACATTCTCTTTTCAAGCGAAACTAGTTTCCTCCACCCACTATTCTTCCTGTGACGAGTCTGCCCTGGATGCCCCACCGTTCGTTTTCCTTCTGACACCAAAACATTTCAGCCAGGCCAGTATCACCCCTCTGTATCCTCGTCAATACCTACCATGCGTGCGCGTTCGTGCATCTCAAGCATTCGAGGTCCACGCACCCACATGTTGAACGCATCCCAAACACCTCAGTTCAGCACACGTTCAACCTAACAAACATCAGGGGCACTCCGTTTTTTCGGCACACCTATTCCAGATGTTCTTCCCGCGCGCATTTGAAATGATCTTGCACCGCATGATCATTTCGACATGCGGTGCATCTTCGTTGATCTAGCATGCGCCGCCTGCACGAATCCGTAGCGAATTGAACCATGCGGGCCAGCCGCGCCCGCTGCCATGCGCGCGTATCGAAATCTGTTCAAGTCCATTGGTTATCGACGCATTTCCAGAAATAGCTGTTCAAAAACATACGAAACGCCACGTTTTTTTTTCAAGGGGAAGACTGCCATGTTTCTTAAATTCCTGCTCGCGCGGACTTCCTCACCATCACCCTCATCAGTGCCAGCGCATCACCGCCGCCATCGTCATCGTCAATCACCGCCATTGTCGCCATCATCAGCACAACCACGTTCATCAGCGACACATGGACATCATCATTGTAATCGTTATCACTAGCATAGGCGCCATCATTGGCCTTGCCGCCATCATTTTCCTCATCGCCACCTCCATCGCTACTGTCATCATCGTTGCCGCTGTTGGCAACGTCATCTGATACTGCACCCGCCCGAGCAACCGACTAGCACTGAAGTTCTCTCGTGCCAGCGGTGCGGCCTTTGAAACTCGTTGGGAAGCTCCCATAGGTAAGCCTCATCGCGGTCGCAGCAGCTGTGCCAGACCGTTTTGACGCCCTGCGCACCTGCGTTTGCGCGCCAGCGCGGCCGCACTGATGTGCTAGCAAGTGCCAATCTGCAACCGTAGTCGTGGTCGCATGGGTCTTGCTAGACAAGCTCGGGTGGAACGGTGGGGCGACGGCGCGAGCAGAAGATTCACAATTCGTGAGCTGACACTAATTCATGATACCACGTCTATTGCACATAGTTTGCACAGCATGGCTTGCACCACAAAGTTTGCATCGCGTAGCTTACACCACATAGCTCGTACTACTTTGATTGCATCTAAGAGCTGCCACCACGAAGCTTGAACCATATAGCTGGGGTCGCAAGATTGGACCACATGGCTTGCACGTCAACAGTGTAATAAGTCAGTGATAGGAATTCACGCTGAAAAGAATGATGCTTGTCATTTAGGTGCTAAACAACGATCTAGAACGACAAACTGGTCCTGCATGAAGCGGTCGAGACCTCTGGGGCACGCGGACTTGAGAGCACACATTTATTCGGAGGACTGTATAGTGCCGAGGGCTGACCGAGGTTCTGCCGCGCGTATTGTTCCCCCCTGCCCTGCTGCGCCTCTCCACAGTGCCCCTCTGGGGTCCCTGGAGGAGAAGCCATGGAGGTCGTCGTCTCGACGCATTCTCGGTGCAGGCCACCCAGATGGGGTCCGAATGGGCGGATGGGTCCAGAGGGTCGCGCCGCATCGCCGATGCAACGGCGACGCGGCTCGATGTGGAGCCCGAGTTCTTCCACGCCGAAGGTGTCGATGCGTTGGCGATGCGCTGGCGATGCGGCGCGATCCTCCGGCACCGTCCGCTCGGACCCCATCTGGGGCCCCTCCAGTGCGGGCTCTTCCGCCCGTCGCCGAGGTGAGCCCTGGGAGGCCCTGCGACTCATCCAGCAGGCCCACTCGGCGCCCGTGACGCCGCAGCAGCAGTTCGGCTCGATCGGCGAGGACGAGGCTGACAAGGAGTGAGCTCGGCCTCGCGGGCGTTTCCCATGGCTTCTTCCGCTCAGGAGGAGGAGAAGAGTGAGGAGGACGAGGAGGTGGACTGAGGAAGGATATAAAGGAGGGGGGAGGAGGAAGCAAATAAGGTAAATGCACAAGGACAAGGCCGCCCCGGGAATGAAAGGGGGGGAACACAGCACGGCTAGTCCGAGGAGCCCGAGGAGGGGGGCGGGTTCAGGGAGACCATCGACCGCCATCAGCAGCAGCAGCAGCAGCAGGCGGGGGGGGGGGGCGGGTCCCAGGCCGGCCCTGGCCGCCGACCTCGCCCCCGCCCCACAGGAAGCCGAGGCCAGATCGTGGAGTGGGCGGCAGCGGCCGCGCGGGGACCAGCACGCACCGCACGCGGCGCACGCGCCCTCTCCTCCACAACTCCGTCCCCCGCCGACGGCGAATGGCCCCTCACGCCTCTATCGTCCGCCTGCTCCTCCAAGACAGGCTCCTCAACAATATGAATACTACTCTCCTCTCTCCCCTGGCGACGTCCAGGAAATACTCAGCCCCCCCCTCTGCGCAGTTGTTTGCACAGGATTCCCGGGTAACGCGTTTTCGCTTGGGCTGTTTTTCCCTAAGTGCTGCTCTCGCTGAAGCGCTGGCCTCATTTTCGGGCTACCGCTCGTTCCGAATCGTGATCCCGCTGCAGCGTTGACACCATTTCCGCGCTTCGACTCATTCCCAATCGTGCTCCCGCTGCAGCGGTGGCGTCGTTATTTACAGCGCCGTGCCACTGCATCTTTTCGGTCCTTCCAACTCGGCCCCAACAATTTGGAAAATGCCCCCCCCGACCCGAAACAACCATCGGAAGTGATTCCACATTTGGTGTCGATTCGTTGATTTTCTTGGCCGCGGAAGCCCCCTCCCCACACGCTATGTCAGGCTTCGCGTTGGTATTCAACACCATGCTGTGCCATACAATGCTACGCCCTGCTTGGACATCCGTCTGTGCGAATAGAGAGGACATCCCGCCATGGTAAGGGATGGATGGGAGGGGTAGGACGCCATACATGACGCGACCGCACCTAGCTTGCCCAAGGCCCCTCCAGGCTCACCGCAGGTGGGTGTTCAGAGGGGCCAGGGGGGGGGGGGCGCAGCGGAGGCCACAAGCTGGGCCCGAAGGGCCGCATTACGACGGTCCGCCTCCATAATGACCTTGGGGGGGTCTGTTGGAGAAAGGGTGCAGTACGCGTTCGATGCGGCCATGTTGTACCCCTTTTGGGTGGGACAACAGGCGGGCAAGGCTCAGCCAGGCCTCGAAATTGAAACGTTCAGTGATTATCACACCTCGAGCAGAACAAGGCATGCCAGCGAGTGAGCTCCAACAGGGCATGAGAATGGTGGGCCACCTGGGGTCGGAGAGCCCACCCCCCGCCTCGACGACGACAGCCTCCCCCGTCCGACGGACCGCGTTAGAAATGGACGGCACCGCTGGAGGTCCAGAGCAGTTGAGCCTGGCCGCCTGGTCAAGCCTGCACTCATCAGCAATTCATGCACACACACACATCACACCGCCATTTCCGGAGGCTTTTGGAAGCGATGAGGAGATTGAGACAGGGCGCGAGCTCGACTGGACATGACAGGGGACCGAGCCACCGCAGGCCTCTCACCTTGCTGGGACTTGTGAGAACCCAAGGATCTCAGGGTGGTTCGGCAACGTCTGCGGACCAAAGCAGCGATGGCATCCCATTCATCAGTGGGCGGGAGCGCGCGGAGCACGCGAGTCCACCACTTGCTACCCCCTGTGGACGCCCACGCGTCCGCAACAATATTGCCACAAACACAAAAGGGGGTTGGTGATGACATCAGGGGTTTCGTCCAAGTGTGGGGGTTTCCAATCAACGCAGACCTCTGAATGGGGCTGCGCTTCCATGGTTTGCCTCACGCGCGCTCGCAACTCACAGTTAGCAACTGGACGACGGCGGCGCCGTCCTTGTCCCCATCCCTGGACGAGGGCCGCCTGATCAGCGACACAGGTGAGAGGTCCCGGGCCCAATTCTGTGCGTGGGTGATGGCGGTGAGTCCAGAACGCGGCACTGTTTGCCGTCGGCCTTCCAGAGGGCACACTGCACCCGCCGCAGGAATCCAGCATCCACGTCCATCGGGGGCGATCGCCGCTAAAGCCCATCCGCGTCCATGCCTCCTGGGGCCAACAGCTTGGACCCATCCGGAGCCATCCCCAAAGTGAAGGAGACGGGCGGTCACGGGGGTCGCGGCGATGCTTCAAGGATGGCACGCCGTCCGAAGTGGCCCCAATAATCTCATTGTCCCCATCCCCCCCCCCCCAGGTCTCGAAGGAGGGGGTGGTCGAGGCCAGAGAAGGGAGACCGCGGAGCCACAGGCATGGGTCCTGCTCAAGGCCGACAAACGCACGCGGGATTCACTGGCACGCAGCTTCGATCTCAGGGCACTGCTTCGCCTCGCAAAGCCAGACACGATGGGCGAAGTCCCCGGCGCGTCCCGAGTTGCAGCGATCGCGCAAAAAGAGTGGCCATCCATCCGCACTAGTGAAGCCGCTCTTTAGGCCAGCGCCCGCTTGAGATGACACAAAGAATTCATCGCCCGATTAAGCATTGCCTCGCGCAAGGAATCTGCGTCGGCGCGCACAGCGACCGAGTCAGCGCCCTTGGACAGGGCGTCGCCGCGCGGGTGCTGCGCGGCGCCCTTCCGGAGACGAACCTGCAGGTCGTCGGTGAAGTCATCGAGAATTGGCTCGCGGTCAAGATAGCCGAGCGCGGCGCCATCTGCAGGGGGGCCCCACTCGCCCGCGTAGTCGCCATGGACACGCCGCCAGGGGTCGGCCTGCACGGGGCCCCATCCGGCATCCGACAGCGCAGCAATCGCAGCCCCGGCAGCAGGTTCGACGGCCAGCCTTCACACATCTTGGCATGAGCAATCTGAATGGCGGTGATGATGTCCCTGCCAGGAGCGAATGCATCCTTCGAGCCGCTGCTGCCGCTGTTGAACGCCAGGCCCATTTCCGTCGAAGCGCGCGCCGCGTAGAGTGGTCAAGCAACGCCCCGCAGCTTTGCCAGCCTCGGCGGTAGCTGCCTGGCATCTCCATTTCAAAAGCACATTGCGGACGAGGCAGCGCGCTAGATTTCAGCGGGCCCCCTGAGGCAAAGAGCCCGTCGCCCAGGTCCCGCGCGCGATGGGAGCCTGCTGGGCCGCGTTGCGCATCTTCATACTGCGCCGTGATCTCGCCGTAGCCGCGGTTGCGCGCTGCCGAGCCTTGCGCCGAACGCGGCCGGCGCCGTCGCAAGTGTCGACGCCCAGGTCGGCGACGCGGATGGCTGCGGAGATCGAGGCGCCCAGCCGCTGCAGCCGCGTCAGAACTCTGGGGCGCGCAGGGCAGCCTTTGCATCGTGGGGCATTTTCAGTAGAGACAGGCAACCCTGCCACGCAACCCACTCATGAACGCCTCTGCCGCCGCGGCGGCGCGCCCGCTGGCGCGTCGAGCAGCGCCTGCGGTGCGCGCGACAGTGCCATCCACCAACTTCCATGGGGTAGCGCCTTTCGCTCTGCGCTGGGCAGGCGTCTTGATCGGCGACAAGATCAATCGAGCGATCGCAGTGCCTCTCGGAGAACCAGACACAACGCCTTGCCAAGCGTGAGGGACGTCGCCAGTCCACCCTCACGTTCGCGAGACTCCTGGACGTAGAAACAGCTGGACCTCCGCTGTCAGGACAATGGCTGGAAATTGCCTTCATCCCCGCCATGGACAATTTGCCCAGTTGCACGCGGCCATGCAACTTGTCCAGGTCCATCGGCATGGCGACCACCGCGAGGCCCATCGCCGTGGCCGATTTGTCCCAAAATGCCCAGTGCACCAGAATTCGTGGAGCCCCCGGCCCGACCGATCGCAAGGGTTGGCACGAAGTTTGGACCAAGTGCGCGCTATGTTTGGGGGCACCCCTCACACTTGGTCGCATCCTGACTTCTTTGGCGCCGTCGCTGCGATAATGATTTGCACATGCGGGGGCCAAAGAACTCCATGTTCCACCCGGCCAGGCACTTCGCTGCACTGCTGCAGCGCTTCATCCTGAAGAGGGGGCCGCACCCGGCCAGGCACTTCAATGTGCTGCTGCAGGCCTTCATCCTGGAGAGGGGGCCGCAACGAATCTCGATGCCCAATCGCTCCGACGCCTCTGGCCGCGCTGGGCTGCGTGGCCTGCGGCGCGCGCGCGCAAGAGCGCCCGGCTCCGGCGTTGCGAGGTCTTCTGCCGGAGCTCGCGCGCGGGTCTGGTTGCTGGCCAGGCACGCGTTCTGCGCGGCATCGGTGGGCTTCCAAGCAGTAGTCCAATGAGCGCCCTTGGAGGCCGCGGTCTCTTTTGGCCGGGCCACAGTTCGCAGGGGAAGTCTGTCATGCTTATCAGTCTGCCGCGGCTTGACCAGTTTGCGAAGCGCGCCGCATCTCTCGCGACCGTCCAGCGCATGTCTTGCAAGGCCGATATGAGGCCCGAGCTGCTGGCCTAGACGTCCAGGATTGCGTGGAGACTGCCATCAAAAGCAAGCAGCAATGCCACCCCCATCGGCCTGCGGCATGAGCGTGCCACGCTTGCTTTCAATATTCGGAGACCGATCTTCAAGTCGGCGAAGAGTATATTGAATCAGGCCCCGATGCTTCACGCGCCTCGCGACGGCGACCAATTTGCGTGAGAGAGAGTTGGTGATGACCAACCACTCAGCCGCTTTATTCTTCAGGCGCGTTCTGCCAGGCGCTGCGCCGCGCTTCTCCAACGAAACTGCAGAGGGCGGGGCCGTCCGTGATACTGCTCATCATCATCCACAGGAGCCGCGCGATTCTCCAGTGAAGCGCGCCCGTAGCGTGTAGCCCAAGTAGCATTAGCAGGCTGAACTGTTCGAGCTTGCACCAGCTGGCGCAAGTGTAACACGCGCGGTGGGAGTTGACAGGTCTTCGTAGCATATTGGTTTTGCTTGGTGCCCCATCATGCTCGGCCAAAGGGGGCGACCAATTCTCGGCGTGGAAGTCGTCGCGGAACGCCTGCTTCACGCAGTGAGCTGCCCGC